CACACACACACACACACACATAGCCGGATAAGAAGAAGTCAGAGCGCTGGGAGGGGAAGAAGAAGGTGGTGGACTGGAGGAGGAAGAAGAAGAAGCGCTCTCTCTCTCTCTCCATATATACATACATATATGTATATATATATATATATATACCAGGTACTAACCTGTGAAAGGTGGTGCCTTGATGCAGGTGCGGACGTGCTGAAGACGAAGCTGGAGCAATGGCCACGCAGGTAAGTGTCAGGTAAGTCCTCTGGCCATCATCACCATCTCTCCCTCCCCGCGCTACTCGACTCTATCAACGCCCAGTGCTGGAAGACTAGTCCTATCGTCGACTACTACTGCACTGCCATTGTCCGAAGTATGCCTCACTTCGATCCTCTACTGAATGCCGTGACTGAGGTCGGACCCAGCTAGATATAGCACTGTGTCGGCCTCAGCTGCTGAGTCCTGGCGCTCAAACTGAGGCTGGGCCTCAAAAGTTTGGTGCCCAAAATGAGGCTGGGCCTCCAGCGCCTACCGAAACGGTGCGGTCTCAGGGTGTGGCACCGAAACTCGCGCCAGGGCCTGTAACCAAAACGAGGCCTACCGGGCCTCTAGCTGGTACCGGTCCTACTCAGGCCTAAAACCGGCCTACCGATCCTGCGGACCCTACCGAGGGTTGAAACGACACAGACCCTACCTCTATGGACCCCTACCCTACCTGGTCGGGCCCTGCTGGGCCCGTGTGGAGCTTACTATGCCACATCCATGGTATCTTGGGCAAGGTGACGATGGGGCCGAGCTAATGTTTGGACCACCTTTGTGTTATTACTTCCTGGTTGTTCACAGACTCTCCTAAGTCTATACCCTGTCTCTTATACACATCTAGATGTGTATAAGAGACAGGGCGATGGGAGGGAGGAGAGAAACCTCCGACTCCCGATACCTCAGGCGGCTATGGCCGCCGATACGCCAGTCGCCGCTGCTGCTGCTCCGCTCGCTGCTGCTTGGCTAATGCTGCGCTGCGCT